ATTATCCAACAAACCATGATTAAGCAGATCATTGCTTTGCATGATGCATGAACCAGACTAGTGACTACCCCAGAAAGCTTAATCAGCAAGGATTTAAAGCTCAAGACTCAGCATACATAGCAATTCTCCCTCCCACCAAACACATGTTGCAAAGTTATGCTGTACAGCCACAGTCCCAAAATCTGTTCAAATTATTCTGGAACTCCAGGCGGAAAATTCCATAAGTCCCTCCCCTGCCCTGGCAAAGAAAACACAATAATAAATTAAGATACGATTTGCTGCTCTTTCAACAATGCTGCAAAGTAGCTGCTTCATTCTGCCTGCTGGAATAGTAGGCTTTGGACATAGGAATCCAGAACTCTTCAACTCCAACCTTCCAGTATCTCAACAGATTCACCCCCTGTACTTTGTGGATAATGCAGAGGGGGACTTCACAAAATTATCTTCACCCTACCTTTTTTGGGGGGGAGGAGTGCAGGAGTCCTTGCTTGTTCCCACCATCTTCTGCATCAAGTAGTCACTGCTAGCTGGGTCTTATAAAGCTCTATTCTCTGCTAGCCACCCATATCAGCCTACTAAGCCCTTTTCACCCATCCTTCTCCTTGTGGTACATCTGACCCTCCCACCCTTCTCCCTCTGTTAGGGAATCACAGGATGTAAAAGAGCCATAAGTTAGATGGAATCACTCCAGCTGGGCACTGGATGGAGTCTGCGGGTTCCGAACTGGCGCTCTCCCATCATTCTAGAAGCAACCTGGACCAGCATCATGAATCATCATTCGCTCAAAGGCACATCTACACTTTCCGGTACAATGACAGAGGTCTTTGTGGCCAAGGGTTCAACTGCTTCCTGGCCCGGGGTTCAGCTGCCATGGCCCGGGGTGAATGGCGACGGATCAACCAGCTGCTGCTTGGGAAAGCAACCTTGTCAAAACCACATGGTGAGGCTAAGGGGACCAGGAAGACAGATGGGAGGGAGACCTCCCTTGAGACTGCAGCAGACGGGGGAGGGGGGCGGCAGCGGAGCTGAGCAACAGAAGAATGGAGAAAGAGCAGTCCCTAGCAAGGCAGAGATTTCTGAAAGGGATGGTTCCTGCGACAATAGGTGGAGAACGGCGGCCAGGCGCCGACCAGGAGATGGATGGGCGTGTGCCCAGAGCTTCTCAGCTGAGACTCGCCTCCCCGCTTGCTCCCGACCTCATGCTCCCTCCCGCACACAAGGAAAGATGAATGCAACCTTTCATCTTCCTCAGGTAGCGGGGGGGGGGG